TGACGATGGCGTGTCACAACGGTAAAAAGTTATGCATTCCTGCAATAATGTTTCCTTGGGGGTGTTTCTGGCCCGCATCTGATGGAGAGAAGGGTTTTGAGAGTGTTGAATTCAGAAATACTGAATGATGAATGGGGCTTCGCATAGCTTGAATACAAAGAAAGCCCAGGAACAAGAGAATATGGGTGGTTTAGGAGAGCAAGGTAAATGGGGAGAGCAGTTGGAGCAAGCCATGCAGTCTTCTGTTAAGAGTGACTCAAGCTGCCTTCCTGCTCCAGAAGGCCTGCAGCTCCAAGAGTTTTCCCTTCAAGTACCCAATCTTGGCCAGTTGACTGACTGTTTCTAGTTCAAGTAAGAGCAGAATCTGGAGTACAATGAAGCCTGCACAGTTCTCCCCTTGGATGGCTAGAGCCTGGTGCTGCTGTACTCGTAAGGGTCAGAGACCAGGCCTCAGGCACTTTAACAATACGCCTGCCCACAGTAGGCCAGTTAAAGAGACAAGTTATAGTGGTAAGTAGAGAAAGGAAGTTTATTTAATGTGGACATATCAGGAAGAGAAACAAACACAGTGGCCCAGCAGCCCCTACTCCCCAAGTCCACCTGAAGATGGTTTAAGTTAAATACAGGTTTGCACAGCTGTGAGGCCCTGTGTAACGTGTATTCTTTCCCACCAGCTGCCTGGGTTCTGTCACTGTCTTGGCCCCCAAATAACACACGAGACACTACATTAATTATGAATCTGTTGGCCCTTTGCTATGGTTTCTTAATGGCTAGCTCTGACTTAATTATTAACCCATAATTACTAATATATATTTTTATAAGGTTTTATCTTACCTAGAACGCCAGACTTGCATCCTCTCCTCCCAGGATCACATGGTGACCCTCTACCCTTGACTACATTTCCCAGAATCCTCCTTGACTCCTAGTCCCACCTCTCTTGCTTTCCTATTGGCCAACAGTGTTTTATTTATCAACCAATAGGACAACATATACACAGAAGGACCTCCCCCATCAGTCCTGGCCAAGGTTTGGTCCTGCCCAGTGTTGATCCATCAGTTTCTAGGTCTAGTGACCGTCTCTCCTGCAAGGTGTTCTGACAAGCTGTCAGACCCTGTGAAATCTCTTTCTAGGACACAAGTTCCCCTTCTGTCTGGGTTTGGGTTTCAGCCTCTTTCTTCTCTCTGAATGAGACTCCTGGGGAAATCCCAATTTCTTGGAGTCCATTTCTTTTTTCAATAATCTTACAGCCAAAGGGAAGGACTCAATGTCTTGTGGGGACATCATCATTCTTTTCAGGGCAGTTGCATTGGTAAATGAGGACTAGGGGTTTGGGAGTCCTAACCTGTACCCCACTTTTAGCCAGTGCTTGTAGAAATGTGTCCTGCAGGTTTAAAAGGGCAAACGATATGTAGCTGTTGCCTCCGTGTGACAACCGTGTCTGGTGATGATAAGAACTCTGTCAAGAGCACAGGGGACGGTGAGGAGGCTTACTGGAATGGTGCAGTACAAGACCAGTTATCTCTCCACCATAAGGAAAGGATGTGAGTCCCAGCTTGCGCCTCTCCTCGACAGGCTATAGACAGGCATGTTTATTTCAGATGCTTAGCTATGCTGTCGTGTAGTAAGTCTCTTTTGCGGATGTGATCACAACTGTGGATGGAAAGAGACAATTTCAACAAGGGGCATCCCATCTAGTACTCTGACTCTGTGGACCCTGAGACAGAGGCTTCTAAGACAGAGCCTTAAATATGGAGCTGCCAATCAAAGAACATGTGACATGAACTGGTCCTCATGAACAGATGGAGAAGGGCCTCTCACCTCATGCTTCTTTCAGCCCTGTCAAGGACTGCAGCTGCTGTCATCCGACTGTGTTGTTCAGAGGTGTGTACTTCTGGGATACGATGTATCACTAAATGAGCCCCTGAGCGTGGGCTGGGGACCAATAAAACAAAGTCTGCTTTTGCCTGAACAGATGTAGGCTATGTTGTTTGGCTCTAGCTCTGGTCTTCCTGGGAACTCTCCTTTGCTACCAAATGTATCTCTTCCTTTTCTGAAATGTTATTTATTTTTATTTATTTTACATTTGTTTGTGTATGTGTGTACACACATGCTCACATACCACGCCATGCTTGTGAAGATCTGAGGACAGTTTTTTAGGAGTCAGTTCTCTCCTTTGTCCATGTATGCTCTGGGGATTGAACTGAGGTCATTAGGCTTGATGGCAAGCGCTCTACCTGTCTCACTTTTCCAGATTTTAAGGAAAACATAATGGCATTAAAAAATCTTTAACTCCAAAATAGTTTATGGAAGTAAATTATCCAAATGACTCAAGTCAAACCTTGGTTGATCTGGGCAGTACATGCAGTGATATCAGGATACAAAAGAACACACACACACACACACACACACACACACACACACACACACACACGATGGGTGGGACTTATGGATAGTGTGCATGAGCGGTTTGCACATATTACTGTGGTTGATTCTCAGAATGGCCTATAGGAAGGTTATTACCTATGCTGCTGGTGTCAAGGAAACGGAGGAAGCTCTGGGAGGCCAAGCAATGTTCCCTTCCCAGTAGATTTTTTTTTTTTGAAACAAGGTCTTACATAGTTTAGGCTGGCCTCAAATTCCTGCTTTTCCTGCTTCTGTTTTCTAAGTTCTGAGATTACAGGCATGTACTACCATGCCTGGCTCCCATCCACTTAGGGAGTTAGGGCTACAAATGAAACCCAGAACTATTTGGTACCAAATTGTGTGTTCTTTTTTTATTTAAATTAGAAACAAGCTTGTTTTACATGTCAATACCAGTTCCCTCTTCCTCCCATCCTCCCCTGCCCCTCACCAACTCTCTAGTCCATTCCCTTTCTGCTCCCCAGGGAGGGTGAGGCCTTCCATGGGGATCTTCAAAGTCTGTCACATCATTTGGAGCAGGGCCTTGGCCCTCTCCCATGTGTCTAGACAGAGATTATCCCTCTATATGGAATGGGCTCCCAAAGTCCATTTCTATACTAGAGATAAATACTGATTCACTACCAGAGGCCCTATAGATTTCTCAGGCCTCCTAACTGACAACCATGTTCAGGGGGTCTGGGTCGGTCCTATGCTAGTTTTCCAGTTATCAGTCTGGGGCCCATGAGCTCCTCCTTGTTCAGGTCAGCTGTTTCTGTGGGTTTCTCCAGCCTGGTCTTGACCCCTTTGCTCTTCACTCGTCCCTTTCTACAACTGGATTTCAGGAGTATAGTTCAGTACTTAGCTGTGGGTGTCTGCTTCTGCTTCCATCAGCTACTGGATGAAGGCTCTAGGATGGCACACAAGGTAGTCATCAATCTCATTATTCGAGAAGGGCATTTAAGGTAGCCTTTCGACTATTGCTTAGATTGCTAATTGGGGTCAGTCTTGTAGATCTCTGCACATTTTCCTAGTGCCATATTTCTCTTTAAACCTATAATGGCACCTCTTTTCTTGCTCTCCTCCCTTCTTGCCCTGACTCTCTTCCTGCTCCCTCATGTCCTCCCCTCCCCCCATGCTCCCAATTTGCTGTCGAAAACTTGTCCCTTTCCCCTTCTCTGGGGGCCATGTTTGTCTCTCTAAGGTTCTCCTTGTTTCCTAGCTTCTCTGGCAGTGTGGATTGTAGGCTGATAATCTTTTGCTGTATGTCTAAAATCCATATGTGAGTGAGTGCATACTATGTGTGTCTTTTTGTGACTGGGTTACCTCCAAATTGTGTGTTCTTTTTTTTTTTTTTTTTTTTTGGTTTTTACGAGACAGGGTTTCTCTATATTGTTTCGGAGGCTATCGGTCCAGCCTGGCCTCGAACGCACAGAGATCCGCCTGCCTCTGCCTCCCGAGTGCTGGGATTAAAGGCGTGTGCCACCACCGCCCGGCCAAATTGTGTGTTCTTAACCACTAATCCAATGTTTATGTTTTGCCTTATTTCTCTCCATGTTGTAGTTTCCAAGCAACCAACCAGAAAACCTATCCCCATTGCCCTTGAAATATGTGTATTAATAACTTGACTCCTTGCCGTTACAAAACCCCTGGAGGAAGCGACTTAAGGAAGGAAGGCTTTATTTTGCTCATACAATATAACAACTATTACAGAGCACTTCCACGAGATAGCTCTTTCTCAGGCTGGCTTGGAAGCTGTCGGCAGCAAGGACCTCTGCTTTCTCAATAACTGAGGGTATTGCAGATTCCCCGTGTCTTAGTTAGGGTTTTCACTGCTGCAAAGAGACGCCATGACCACAGCAACTCTCATAAAGAAATCATCTAATCAGGGCTGGCTTACGGTTCAGAGGTTGAGTTCATTATCATCATGGGGGCGGAACCCTGGAAGCAGGCAGGCAGACATGGTACTGGAGAGGCAGCTGAGGGTTTTACGCCCAGATCCACAAGAAGAGAGAGACACTGGGCCTGGCTTGAGCATTTGAAACCCCAAAGCCCACCCCTACTGACACACTTCCTCCTACAAGGCCACACCTACTCCAACAAGGCCACACCTCCTAATGCTGCTCCCTGAGCATTCAGATAGGAGTCTACGGTGGCCATTCTTGTTCAAACCACCACACCCCTGAACTCCTTAAAGAGGCAGAGTGACAAATGTCAGGAATAGGATGCTCCCCTACCAAAGGACATTCCCTGAAGCTGGCAGGGACTCTGCTTTACTCTCCTGGCACTGTTCCTCAGTCCCAACCCATTGGAACACCTAGGGGCAGAGAGGGTGGTCGTCTCACTTCCTCCATCTTTGAAATGGACATAATGATGCCACACCAACAAGTGTATTCTGCCAATTGTTACAGTGCTCTGGTTTTTAATCAACTTGATGCAAACTAGAGTCATCTGGGAAGGGAGAGCCTCAGTTGAAGGATTAGCCTCCCTCAGATTGGCCTGGTCTGTTGGTTGGTAATTGATGCAGGTGGGCTCAGCCCACTGTTGATGATACCATAAGGCAGGTGGGCCTGGGACCTATAAGAGAGGCAGCTGAGCAAGCCAGGGAAGGCAAGCCAGCAAGTTGTGCTCCTCTGAGGCTTGTTTCAGGTTCCTGCCTTGAATTCTTGTGTTGGCTTCCCTCGTGGGTTGATAGTAACTTGCAAGTCAAACAGAGAAGCAAACTGGAGCGGATGGCCTCAGAACCCACCTAGTGCCTCCTCCTTGTGAGCCTTCTTGCAGAAACTCGGTGGCTGCAGGCATTCAAACGCTGTCGAGCCTGTACTCAAGTCATACCTCCCGAGAGTCTTCTCTGGAGGACCAGGCTGGGTAAGGTGGCTTTCCTCCGCGTGCTCTTTTACTAGAGGATGAGTGTCATTAGAGCATTTGCTGCCAGTTCTCTGGCCAGTCCTGCCCTACACCAGACACTCTCCAAGGGTGGGGGGCCGGGGAGACAGACCTTATTATCTGCACCTAATAGATATTTGAACCATTCAGCAGAATTGCTGAAAAACTCAACGTATAGGCCTGGTGAACTTGTCGTGCAAACGGGAGGGCTTGTGTTTGGATTTCCAGCATGCAAGTTAAAAGCCAGGTTCAGCGGCAGGCAGTTGTAACTACAGTGTTGATGAAGACCGGAAGATATCTGGAGCTCGCCCACCTGGCCAGTCCTGCTGCGTCTCATGAGCTCCGGTGTCAGTGATGATCGTTATCTAAAAAAGGAAGGTGGAGAGCAGAGGAGGAGGACAACCTCAGACCTCCACATATGTGTGTGTGCACGTGTGCACATGCGTGTGCATGCACGAGTGTGTACACACACACACAGAGACAGAGATACACAAAGAGTTTGCATATAGACGGCACACGCACAGAGACACAGAGAGACACACACACACAGAGTTCAGTACTTAAGTATCCCAAAGAGTTTTTGTTTGTTTTTAATACCCAACTCTTACACCCTTTTGGCAGAGCTGTTCCTTGGAACTCTGTTTTTTTCTTCAGATGTCTTTAGAAGTCTCCTAGCCTCATTCAGATCTCTGGGTCATGACTTAGTGTTCCAGGGAATTCCAAGGGAATAGAAATCATCTCACTTCTGCAAACTAATGTCCACTGTTCTGATAAAGGATCCCAGCTGTGACAAGGAGATAATTTACTTGAAATTAATGAGCAAAGCTAATTCTGGCAGTAGATTTGGGCAGGGACAGAGTGTACCAGAGCAGAACACTGGCAAGTGTTCCTAACCCTCTGGCTTGACTTCTGAGTTGGGGAGCTCCCCGACGTGTCAGTGATTTTCTTTTTTTTTTTTTTTTTTTTTGGTCCCTGAATTGCTTGCTGAACAGTAAATAGACTTAAGATGATGGGCAGGGGCTCCACTGTCTGCTGAGAACCACGAGTGAATTTCTGTGGCTTGTTCTTTTCATCACTGGCTCCAGTTTTGTAAGATATGTAGGATAATTAATGTCTGGCTTTTTGAGGGTGTGGGATTTTGGATCCACAACTTCATTCCTCAAACTTCCCACAGGGTCCCACCCCTCTAGAGTGGAACACCTACTTCTTGTCTCTCTGAACTCAAAAATGACTTTGGCTTTCCTGTTTCGTTTTCTCTGTCCAGTGTTGGAGTCACTTAACAGTTATGTTCACCTGCCAGGAAATCACTGCCGTTGTCCCCACCTGATGATGTTCAAGCCTTTGTTATATTTGTACAGGATGCCAAATCCCTTCATTGTGAACTGTGTGTAGCTTCCAAATTCTTTCCATGTGGTACAGTTTAGTTAATGTGCCATCTGGGAGGAGGTCCTAATGAGTGGTAGAGGGAGATAAAAAATGATTAGTCCGTAGCCTGGGATAATTTATGTAGATTGTTTCAGTATACCTCTTTAGGACATACATTGTAAACCCAGCCTTATAATCTACCCTGGGGGGAAAACCCTCATACATAAGCCATGGTCTTTGTTCTCAAATGGCTTTGTGTATCAGAGGAGAACGGGGAGACACATGCACACAGAAAGGTAGACATGATTGATATACAGATAATGATGATAGCCGATGCTATAGGGGATACAATATATTTATTTACCAGAGAAAGAGAGAGTCACACAAGCCAGGAGTTAGAAGCGTGGCTGGCTTCCAAAGGAGGAGGTCCTTTTTCCTTTCACTTCCTTTTATCTCTACCTGTGCTAATTTACTTGACTCTGCCCTCATGGGCGGATAGCTTTGTGGGGTTCACTCCTACACATGAATGCTGATGGTGACGAGGGTTATGGGAAAAGGAGGCAGGCAGAGGAGTTCTCGGACCGAGAGTGTTAGCAGGACACCCATGGGTGATGTTAAAAGCTTAGTGGTAAAGGCAAATAAGAAAGTGTAAGTTCGTATTTGTCAGAGGCCATTGAAATAGGCACCCTGGCTGTGAGGACCACTGTGTAGAAGTGTTACTGTGGCAACAAGGATGGTGGAGGTACAGGGTCCTATGGACCACAAGTAGTGTCTGTAGGAGATGAGGGTATGATGACATCTGTGGTTGAATCACCGGGGAGACAGACTATCAGGAGCTGGAGCAACAGCAACTTCTCCAGAGGGGTTGGTGATGGTGGGCGTTGCAGAATGTGAGAAAGGTAAGCCTCGGTGTGCCTTGAACTTGTGGATGAGAAGCATGGCTCAGCACTAGTTAGGAGCAGGCAGGAAGTGAAAGTCTGTGTTTGGGAAGAGTGGGGGTAGAGGCATCCCCTGGGGAATGGTAGGTTCAGCTACAGTGACACTGCAGGGAAGAGGAGGAAGAGGCTTGTGACAAGGGCAGTTTGGTCTTGGAGACTGAGACATCATTGGGCAAACCTCGGGTGAGAAGACAGGACACTCATGGCAAGGAAGACTGCAGGCATGTTTGGATGTGTGTGTCTACGTGAACGTGCAAACTGAATTAACCGACATACCCACTGGTCTGGGCTGTGAATTCTTAAAGAGAAACAAGGAATTTTAGTGGCTTGAAGTTCTTAATTTTTTAGACAGGGTCTCATGTTGCCTAAGCTAGCCTTGAACTTTCAGTGTAGTCAAGACTGTTCTTGAACCGTTCATATTTCTGCTTCTACCTTCTCAGTGCTGGGATTACACTCCTATACCACCTTGTCTGATGAGCTATTAATTTTAAACTTGTAATAGAGGGATTTTTCCTTTAGTAGCATCAAAGAGTAGGTCAAAAGGAAGGGGGAAGTTGAATAAAACTAAAGTTTACTATCTTAAATATTTTATTTTACATTAAACATAATCTTTGTCTGTTCCCTGACATGTTAACTTGAGACTAGGCTAGACCCTTTGTTAGAAATATCTACATTCACAATGGGTCAGCAATGGGTGTAATCCTCCCACTCATCCCCTTGTGAGGATTCTTTTCTTGAATGTGACCAGGACTTTTTCTTGGCCAACAGGATACAATAAAAGTAACATTCAGGGATTTCTGCAGCTGTGTTTGAAATACTCTCTGGGTTCCTTGGAGGGTCCCCCAAGCCCCTGAGAGGCCACATGAGAAGTTCATTGCCTCGAGTTGCCCATGCTTGAAAGGCTGCCTGTAGGTGCTCCGGAGGAGGGCCCACCTGAGCTCAGCTTCTAGCCATCCTACCGAGAAACCAGGCATTTGGCTGGGTGTGCTGGCACTTAGGAGCCCAGGCAGGTGGATCTCTGTACGTCTGAGGCCAGCATGGTCTACAGAGTGAGTTCCAGGACAGCTAGGGCTTGCTTGTTCTCTCTCTCTCTCTCTCTCTCTCTCTCTCTCTCTCTCTCTCTCTCTCTCTCTCTCTCTCTCTCTCTCTCTCTCTCTCTCTCCTTCCTCCACCCTTTCCTCTCTCTCTTCCTCCCTTCCTTTTTCTTTTTTTGAGACAAGGTTTTTCTGTATAGCCCTGGCTGTCCTGAAACTCATTTTGTAGACCAGGCTGGCCTGAACTCAGAGATCCTCCTGCCTTTGCCTTGAGAGACCCTTTATTTTTTTTAATTATTTTTAATTGGCTATTTGAGAATCTCATGTACACACCCTGATCATGCTCACCTCCCAGCCTTCCCATGTCTGTCCATACCCCCTCCCCGCCCCCATATAGTCACTGGAGCATGGTCAAATTCCTAGTGGCCATCCCCACCAGGGGAGGAGGATGAGTCTTCCTCCATCTGCCTGTGAGCCAGAAGCCGTCAACTAGGTCGAGCCATAGGAGGCTAGAGCAGGGTGGGGCCAGCCTCTTGCACCCATGGCTCCATCGCTGTTGCAGAGTGGCTGCCACCAAGGGACAGGGTCAGGAGAGACCCATTCTTAAGAAAAGAAAGGGAAAGAAAGGAAAGGCCTGGAATGCGAGGGACGCCACGGTGGCTCCTCTAGGTCATTCTGTCCAGTGTCAAATGACTTTTTTATGGAATAGAAAAGCTGAATTGTTGAGTGCCGTCTGGATGACTTACAAACAGAATTGTGAAACGTAGTAGAATTTTGGATATCTTAAGGCACCAAATTTCAGAATAGTTTGTGGTAGGAGAGAGACCATTAGAATTTTATTGGAGAGAAGACTAGACATAAGCTCATCCAGCTGGAGAGACCTAGAGTTCTGTGGTTTATACATCACAACTCCAAACACTGGGGCTGGCGATGGTTTGGAGAGGTAGAGGCCCTGGGTCCCATCCCTAGTCCTGAATATTGTCAGAGACCTCTGAAAGTTGACCACAACATGCAGTAATCCCACAGAAGGCACCTAAGCCTCTACTTGTACCTCCCCTTTCCTGCCCTTGACAGTGACAGGTCAGCCGAGCTCCTCTTCCTGTTGGAGAAGTGCCTCAGGTGTCCAGATGGCCTGCTCACCCAGTCCTCTACGTGAAGCGGCTCTGAGGATCTCCAGTTGGCGCCCGTCTGCCTCTCCCACGGCCAGGGAGGGCTCATTGGGATTGGGTCTTCATTTTCTTTCTCACTTCCCTCTTCCCCTTCCTTCTAGCAGGCTCACAGTGGAGAAGCTCCTTCCAGCTAGTAGGGGAAGCCGCCCTGCTTAGGGAGAGCTCTAAGTTTCCCACCTAAATGCTAAGGCATGGGAGCCACGCGCGATCGCTTTGAGCAGGCTCTACTCCATCAGCATGGCCGCACGCAGGGCCCACTGCTCTGAAGAGTGCTCGGTTTCACACTTTGCTCTCACCATCTTGAATTTCCTGCTATTCTTTTAAATTTCTTTTTGAGGGAGGGGTTTGACATTTTGGCTTTGTACTGGGTTCTGAAAATTATGCAGCTGACCTTGTCCAAGGCTCGGGGTGGGTATGATGAGGCTGGGCCGCAGCCCACAGTCTCACGGAGAACTGGGTGAAGAGTGGCCGATGGG